GGGCCGGGCCTCCCCGGTGAAGCCCAAGGACTGGCCGCGGTGCGGAAGCCTGGAGTTCTGCGGCCCTGAGGAGCGGGTTCCATGCTTCAGGAGCTGTGCTCCTGCAGCCCTGCCCGGCCCCCTGCCACGCCCCCTGCCACGACTGCACTTGGGCGCTGGCTTCTGTTGCCCGTCGAGGGCGCAGGGCGCGGCTTGGAGTGCTCGGTGCGAGGCAGGCCCTGTGCCCGAGGGTCCTCGGTGTCCTTCCGCGCCCGCGTTCATGCCCTCTCTCCTCCCTTGCAGGCTGCTATATGGCAAGCGCTGAACCACTACGCCTACCGGGACGCTGTCTTCCTGGCGGAACGACTGTATGCAGAAGGTGTGTAAAGCGTGCACTTTTGTGGCGCCACAAATGAGTATGAGACAGGGAATTCGTCACTTTTTATGACTAACAAGATTCTGGGCGTCTCTTGTGTTTTATTTCTGATCCTACTAGTTTATAAAAACTTGACCTCCGTAGCCAGCGTAGTGGCATGCGCCTGTAGTTCCAGCTACTTGAAAGGCCGAGGCGGAAAGATCACCTGAGCCCTGCAGGTTGAGGCTGCGGGGGCCTGAGCGTGCCCCTGCACTCCAGCCTGGGCGACAGAGTGAGACTCCGACTCAAAAAAAAAGAAAAACAACTGTCCCTCTTAGCTGTTCTTTACCTGTTACTTTTAATAAAGTGTAGCCTACTTTTAATAACATGTGTAGAATTGATTCACATTTATGCACTGTGACTTACTTATTTTCCAAGCTTTAGGTACTTTTCTGCAGTTTCTTAATTTTTATTTTTATTAGAACAGAGTCTGTATTCTGTGGTGAAGACCATGGATTTAGAGCTTACAGCCTTGGTACTAAGCCCTGTCGCTTCGATTTACCGTTTTATAACCTTGGGCAAGTTACTTCACTGTCTGAGCACTTTAGATTTTTTTATCTATAAAATAAAGATAGTAATAATTGCCTCTTATAACTGAAAAATTAAATGAGGTAATGTATTTAAAGCACTTGGCACAGCCATCTGTCATGGTAATAAATACTCAATACACATTACGGATAATATATGTTTTGTTTCTGTCACTAAATTATAATAATTATCCTTCTAAGATGTGGCTTTAGATAATAATGCACAGCAGTTTCTTGTGAGTCACTTACTTGGGTGACATACTCTAAGATGGAATGTACAAGTCAGAGAATGTGCTCAGTTCTACCCGCTAAGCTCTCGCCTGGCAGAGGGAGGTGTGATGATGTTGGGGGGAGGTCACCAACAGTGTAAGGAAACCACTTCCTTTACAGTCCTGGCAGCATCAGATTTTACCATTGTAGTGCATCTTTACTTACTTGAGAAATGTGATGTATTCTGGCTAGTGATTTTAAGACTACTGGGAATTCTGGGTATTCTCTCGTGTTTTGAATTTCTGTTTCTTTTTTTTAACAACTGAATTTATTTATTCCTTCATTCAGCAAATATTGATAAGAACCCCACCATCTCTCTCTCTCTCTCTCTCTCTCTCTCTCTCTCTCACACACACACACACACACACACACACACACACACACACACACACACACACACACACTATGCACCAGGCACTCAGAGTTTCTAGACAGTGGCTACCTATCTGTGATCAGACAGTTTCTGGTCTCACAGAGCCAGCTGAACAGTTAGCTTTCGTTCAGAGTCACAGGATCTTTCTCTGTTCCTTCTTCCTTTCCTTCCTTCTGTCTGTCTTTCCTTCATCTCTCTGTTGACCTGAGCAGCATGTCACACGGCACCTGCAACTTAGAACTCAGGCATATGTTGGGATAGCAGGTGTTCTGCTAGGGTTGTACAAGGGGGGCCCAAAAAACCTTGACATTTTTAAATTTTAAATTGTATATTTATTTTTACATTAAACTTCAGTTACCTTCGAAGCACTCTCTGTTGGATGCAGTGCAACTATCGAGACACTTTTCCACTGCTGAGTTTTTGAACTCGTTGATTTTGATGCCTTTTAGTGCTTCTGCCGTTTTTTATTTCACCTCTTCCACATGGGCAGAACATTTCCCTTTGAGGACTTTTTTCATCTGGGGAAACAAAAAAAAAAAGCCCCTTTTTTTGGTCAAAAATTTCTGAACGCTCAGAGCAGTGTAGGAAGGTGCACTTGTAAATCACCCATCATGAAATGGGCATAAAGTGTTGAAAGAATCTCCAAAAATATCAACTGAAGCTGAATGCACAACAACACTAGCTGGAACACTGATGCCGATGGGTTCCTAGAACACTCACTTAGCAGGGGAAACCTGTACCACAAGAGGCCCGCCCTTCAAAAGATAATTCTGGGTTGTTTTGGGTCTCCACACATACATACAACTGGGAAATGTTGTACTGTAAATCATTGCCACTCGAAGTCTGACCCTAGCATCAGCAGTTAGAAATAAACATTCATGGCTCTCGCCTGTTGAATCAGAGTCTATAAATTTTTGTTTTGTTTTGCTTGCGTTGGAGTGTCACTCTGTTGCCCAGGCTAGAGTGCAGTATCACACTCATGGCCACTGCAGCCTCAACCTGCTGGGTTCAGGTGATTTTTCCACCTCAGCCTTCCAAGTAGCTGAAACCACAGACATGAACCACCACATTTGGCTAATTTTTTGATTAATTGTAAACACAAGGTCTCACCAAGTTCTCACCAAGTTGCCCAGGCTGGTCTCAAATCCCTGGGCTCAGGCAATCCTCTCACCTCTGCCTCCCAAAGTGCTGGAATGGCAGGTGTGAGCCACTGTGCCTGGTCAGAATCTCTAAATTTATTTCTATTTCTGTGAACTGTATCTTTATTTATTGCATATATGTCCCAGATTGTTGCTGTTAAATTTTAATTCTGTTGATTTTTATTCTGATATTTGAGTTTGTATGTAATTGAACTAATTGACTTTGTCAGTTGTAATTTCCCCTGTTGTTTCAGTAACTTGAAAATTGTCTTTTTACAATTTCAATAGATATATGGCTCTTGGTAGTTTAAAAATTCTTTTATGAATTTATAGGCTGAAGCCTGACTTGGTGGCTCAGCCTGTAATCCCGTGCCTTGGGAGGCTGAGGTGAGTGGATTGCCTGAGTCTACGGGTTCGAGACCCACCTGGGC